AGTGCAAGTTAAGTGGAAAGGGTGTTAATTCTACCTTGTATATTATGTAGATAATAAAATTTGTACTGGAGGTTGATTACTGGTATTCTAAACTTGTATAGTTATAGACTAAGACCCAAAAGAGTTTTTTAGTTCAATTAAGTTTGGATATTAGATGGCCTAATATTAAGGGTGTATGTGAGATGGGAATGGAGAATAGAACTACGTTCGATGATACTAATGTTTGGTAGGGTACGAGTGCATACAGGAGTACTATATTTGTATTCCCCCTCCTATTTTTTAGACTGTCGGAAAGGGTAAAGCCCCGTTTGATAGTTGCTAACTGAGAAAATGCTTACTGAGAAAGGTCTGTCTGAGTAAGAAATTCTGACTGAGTAAGAAATCATGTTGTTTGATTGAAAATCTGACCGAATGTGCTGACTGGTGTAAAATGACCATTTTACCCTGATGCTATACACGTTTCTATGCAATATTATAATAATAATAATAATAATAATAATAATAATAATAATAATAATAATAGTAATAATAATAATAATAATAATAATAATAATAATAATAATAATAGACATTAACAATAATAATAATAATAATAATAATAATAATAATAATAATAATAATAATAATAATAATAATAATTTATACAAAAACCTCCACCATAATAGACATTAAATATATTATTTTAAAGATAAAACACAAAAAACCTTTCAGCTTGCTGGTAAACACCATTGCTTCTACAAGGGAGACCCAAGTTCTATTCTTGTAGCCTTCATTAGTTGTGAATTTATATCCAAGCCAAGGGTACTATTGGAAAGCCTTGTTTTCTTTCTCAGTCAGCCAACTCCCAACTTCTTTCTCGGTCAGACATTGCTTTCCGAGTCAAACGACAAGATTTTATCTATCAAACACCTTTTGTCTGACCGAGTCAGCAAAAATGTCTGACCTGACTCAGTCAGATGCCATATCAAACAGGGCCTAAGTCTGTATTAGACCATCAACAGGTATGTCATCTAGACAACTTTCTCGGTCAAACATTGCTTTCCGAGTCAGACGACAAGATTTTATCTATTAAACACCTTTTGTCTGACCGAGTCAGCAAAAATGTCTGACCTGACTCAGTCAGATGCCATATCAAACAGGGCCTAAGTCTGTATTAGACCATCAACAGGTATGTCATCTAGACAACTGGAAAGGGTGAGTCTATATAAGACCATCAAAAGGTATGTCTGAGTCATCTGCCGAAGTAAAATGACGACCACTCGCTATTTTAGATAGTCTTGTGGGAAGTAAAATGACGTCATCTGCCGAAGTAAAATGACGACCACTCGCTATTTTAGATAGTCTTGTGGAATATTATCGTGTAATCATTCTCGTATATGTTAATGTAATGTGCATCCATTTTTTATACTTCATCCTCTCATCATTCCATCTTTTGATCCTTGTAGGGAATTCGTAAGGTTGTATAGTCAACTCGTTGCTTACAGTGATCCATCAGGATATATCTAATAAGATCATTGTATTTGGATTAGTATATGAGGATCAACGAGATTGGAAACTAAGGTTATTGTTTTTGGACTAATATCATACTAACATTTCGGGATTGAGAACAATATGTATCTCACTAGGTTTCCCATCATGACCTACTCAATATATATGAATCATAGGTAGTAGTGTTAAGATTGTTGAAGATTTGAATGTGATGTTAAGTGATTGAAGAGAAGACCTGCAATAGTATTTAGGACTGTTAGGACTTTACACTGTAACTTATGTATTGTATTAATTATGACATCCTTAATTTGAGAAAATCATTTGTATTCAAAATGTTTTCATATACTGCGATTTTTTGCAAACCAAGATATTATGATTTTAAAGCATATTTTTTTTGTTCTGGAAAGTAGGGGATGTCACTATGCACGTAAACAGATTTTGTGAGATCAACATAAAGAAGGCATTGTTAACACCTAATTGATGAATAGGCTAGTTAAGCGAGATGGAAATACTAAAGACAATATGAATGGTGGTAGATTTCACTACTAGAAAAACAGCCTTTTACGACGCTCATTGCGCGTCGTAAAAGGCTTAGACGACGCGCAAATGCGCATCAAGGAAGACCCTGTCATAAAGAGAGACGACGCGCATTTACGACGCGTGTTTACGACACGCAATGCGTATCAAGGAAGGCCCTGTCATAAAGGAAGATGACACGCATTCGCACGTTGTGACCTTACGACGCGCGTGTTAATGACACGCAATGCGTATCATGGAAGCCCCTGTCAAGAAAGGCTATGTCATAAATGAAGATGACACACATTTTTGCGTATAGTAATTTTAAATGTTAAAAAAAAATATTATTTATAGATTTACTAATTTTCAAATTAAATTTGCATTTAATATTAAATGCAAATTTAATTTGAAAATTAGTAAGTCTATAAATAATATTTTTTTAACAACATATTGAAATTATCATAAGAACGATAAAGCATTTCAAAAAAATATCACATGGCAAACAAGTTACTTAAGCATTACATGTCAAATAACACTACATGTCAATACTAATAACACTTAAAAACATGTTTTTCCCTGCATTTGGAGCATCCACAATTCCTATATCAGCAACCAACTTTAGGTCCAATTCCAACCACCTGTAAAAGAACAACATTGTAAGAACAACATTAGAAGATCAACATTTGCTTGATTTGACGATTCATTAGTTACCCTTGGACCAATTTTAGGTGTAGAGTGTGGTGTAGCAAGTTTTGAAGGGTACCTTTTTGATGAGAACGCCCTTGCATTGTCGTTCCCCCTAAAGATAAACATGAAGCACAAACTAAGTTTGCTCTTGTCAGAAGCTGCAATTTCTGTTGTCATGAGTTTGTATTAAGTTTTGAAGGGTACCTTGAGACATAAAATCTCCTCCATCAGACCATCTCTTCTCCATGCTAAAAAAGAGATAATTCCAGTTAGGGGTGTTGAACGGGTAATTTTTTCGGGTTTTGGGTAATTCGGGTCGGGTAATTCGGGTTTTTCATGTTAGAAAAATTACCCGTTACCCTACCCAAACTAAATTCGGGTAATTCGGGTTTGGGTAATTCGGGTATCGGGTCGGGTTTGGGTAATTCGGGTATTACCCGAAATATATAATTTTTTTTTTGAATTTCACCTGAAAATAAATTTAATAAAATAAATATGTCGTGCTTTATTAGTCTTGTTTATATAAACAAATGAGACATAAACGAAGTTACTCAAGCTTTGAACATTGAGATTTTTTAGTCAATAAATCATGAGATATCAAGTAATTTTTTAACAACTTAATTTAATATAATAAGATGTTAAAAAAAACAAATACCTAAAGATCTTAATTTAAAAGTTTAAAATGTTTAACATAAATGTAGCCATAAGTTTTGCCATGTTCTGAAGTTTCGTCAAGATAATGAGTTTGTTAGTTGCAATAAAAACTATAATCAAGAAAACAGTTAAGTTTTAAAGAACGTGATAATATATAAAAATTACTTTTAATATTGTTACAGTCGCATTGTCATAATAAATATATTTATGTTTTACAATAATGATATAGTTTAAGTGTGATCAAATATCTGCTATATAGTACAAGCTCTACAAAAAAAAAAGGAATTTTTAAAATAATTTGGGTAATTTGGGTAATTCGGGTATACCCGAAACCCAAAAAATATACCCTTTACCCTACCCGAAAAAAAATCGGGTAACCCGATTACCCGGAAAAATTTACCCGTTACCTGATTTACCCGATACCCGAAAAAATCGGGCGGGTAATTCGGGTAACGGGTATTTTCGACAGGGCTAATTCCAGTGAAATTCCTTCTACCATGCCTATGTAACCTATAATTCCAGTGGAATTCCTTCAACTATGGGTGTTTTAGTCTCGGGTGTCAGGTTCACTATTGGGGCATGTGTATCTGTGTTGGTTAATACTTGGGCAGATAGACCGGGCAGTTGTGATTCATCAGTTCCAAAAGTGGCAACTGGGCTGTGGCAAACTGGATACCACCTGAACACTATCACCGCATTCTTATCCTAATAAATATCAATCAGAAACTTATCAATAAGCCTAATCATTATCATTAAAGAGGGATAAAAGGAGGGATGGGTAATTAACTAAATAAACTTGGCACCAGTTGAAACTTATCAATAAGCCTAATTAGTGGTAGACCCTACAACACCATAACTGCATTTTCCAACCACGTCTTGAACTTCATATCTTCCTGCCTCTCCATATTCAGTGAAGAACTCTCTTTCGAGTTGCATACAAGAAACAATTACTTGGTTTTTGTCAACAGTAACAATCTTTAGTAAACAGTAACTTTAATTTTAAAATTGAATTTCACATTAGAAATAAAGAGATTTTACATCTTAAATGGGGTTGATTCAATATTCAAGATTCAAGGAATGGGTTTGATCTTACATTCTAAGGTGAAAAAGTTAATATTTTCAAAACATAATGGTTTTTTTCACATATGGGGTTGATTCAAGATTCAAGAAGTAGGGATTTTACATCTTACATCATCAATTATAAAGGCAAAAGGCACACAAGTAAACAAAGGGACATGAATCAAATTTATCTATGTGTTTGTAGGATTTGTCATAGATAATGAACTACATTATCAAATTACGCAACAACCAAAGGGATCAAGTGTAGGATTCGATGCTATAATTTAAGAAGGATTCTCTAAAAAGGTATTTTTTTTTATCATGATTCAAATAAAATGAGACTATCAAATACATGTCATAAAAATGGTCAAATGCAATTGTCTAAGGATTCATGAATTATGACACATATTAATCCCATTTATGTATCAGGATTGTTTTCATAATTAGGGTTGATTTGAGATTCCAAAAGTAGGGATTTTGCATCTTAAATGACATTATCAAATCAAAAAGAAGAAACCAAATACCTAGGTTGCGTTTTGTTGTGATTGCGTCAGCAATATGGGGTGGAGCAAAACTTGCAGATGTTCTTGAACTGGTTAGCATGCCCAAGTTAACAAGTACCACACCTGCAGGTGGCAAACATGTAGAATTTGTGAGCATTGACAGGTTCAAGGTTTGTATCATATGTTTACGTGTTCTGTTTACTTTCTTTTTTGAAGTGTTATTGTTTGTAATAAGATTTAGTGTTTTCTTCCATAGAAGGAAAAAGAGGGTCCTTACAAGCCATCAATTCCACTACTTTCCAAGGATTGGTGCTCATTCTGTCAAGTGGTTGGATACCATCAACATAGATTCCTAAGTCTACCCGGTCTCTCTCTGCTCAGATTTATATTTACTTTTACTACTATAAAAACTTGTAAAATGTTTCTAAGAAGATAGTGTATGTGTGTATCAATCATTACTTTCCAGGGATACTTTCAGCAGAGAGACTATAAAATGTTTCCACCAACAGTAAATTGGGACAACATGGATTAGTCTACCAGGAGACCACAAATGGATTTCCATGTTCAGGTACTACACTATATATATATATATATATATATATATATATATATATATATATATATATATATATATATATATATATATATATATATATATATATAAGAAAACTTTACCTCTTCAAGAAATCTAAATCGATGATAGCATGCAGAATGAACATTTCCAACAGAGATTATTTTGAGAATGTGATGCATGTCAATGAAAATAGTTGTTGCACTGCTTGCAACACGAAAGAGATCAACAGAATCTGAGAGTTGAAAACAAATGATTAGTATAAGTGTAAAATCATAATTTAATTTACAGACTTACCCTTTTCACTTGCATAAACATCTATAACTCCATCTTCCATCTTGTAATGACAGTTTGCAATCAAGTCCCATACAAGAATATTTCCATTTTGATCATCAGATATCAGCTCAGTCTGCACACCCAAAAACAAACCAATAAACCAAATTATATATAGGTACATGGCCAAAAAAAATCTAATTTTCACAAAGAACAGAATCATGGACACCTGATTTGGATGCAAAACCATAGTGTTAAAAGATTCAAAACTAGTAGAATTCATCCAAACCTCTTCACCATCGAAGGAGAAAGCAACAACATGAGTCCTCATTATATTTTTTTCTTGACTGAAAAGCACTCAAGGACAACTCTGTATGTCTATCCAGAGTGCTAGTTGAAGAAAATGAAGTGTCCATGTCCTGTAACTCTCAAGCTGATCAAATGTTTCGTCAATATTTCCCCCAAAGACTGGCTTGAAGTGCAGCTTCTATTTCTTTATTGTAGATTGAATGTGACTTTGATTTGAATGTAGGAATAAAGAAACACATCGAAATCAGTAATTGCAATCCATACAATTAAAATAAACGAATGTTCTGGTAAGGAAATTACATGAATAGGAGAGAGAGAGAGAGAGAGAGAGAGAGAGAGAGAACCTCGATCTAAGGGAAGAGGCCATGGTAGCCACGAGATTTGAGAAAACTGTATGCGATATCCTTAGAACCATGAGTATCGGGAGCAGAAGAAGTGCCTCCAACGCAAAATTAGCTATGGCCACCGGAGGAGGAAATCATGATTGAAACTTATATGGTTTTTCTGGTTAGGGTTTTATAGAAGAGAAGAGAAGAGGATTCAAAATCAAAATTAGAGGCGTGAATAAAGGAGAAATAAGAACCTGGATCTTGTCTTCGAGATTATCGACGATGTCGACGTTGCTTTCAACATCGAGTGGGAGATATGGTGGTTCCAGTGGGTAGAAGTAAGTGAGCCTTGATCGATGTCCTCCCTTTCTCTCGAACGCCTTTTGTATCCCACAAATATTCCTTTATACCGGAGGTGAAGGGAACGCACAAAGAAACCCCTGTGAGAGAGAAAGAAATAGTCGATTTGAAGCAATCGACAAATGAAATTGAAAGGTAGAGGCGCTACACTCCTTTTTTTGTTCGTGTCACCACACATCAACATAGAGAAATCAAGAACCCCTGCAGGTTTGATCTGTTTAGAAGATGGGATCAGAGATTTTGTGATATTGCGATTTTGTTGCGGGAGAAAAGAGGATTTGTGATGATATTAGGGTTTTTTTGGGTATTAGAGTGAGAGAGATAGAGAGAGAGAGAGAGAGAGAGAGAGAAAAGAAAGATGGAAATAAGATAGAGGATAACAATGGCGGCCTTTCAAACTTTTGGGATTTTCATTTCCCCCCAGCTGCAAAAAAAAGAGAACGCGCCTTTCATTCAAAAAATATAAAGCGACATTTCTAGACGACGCCCATTTTTAAATAAGTGCCCTTCGTGTTTTTAATTTTTTTCTTGGACATTAATTTTAGGTCACGCACAAAAGCGTGACCTCTATCCTTGAAAAGTTTGAAGAGATGACATTATTCTTAGAGTGCACGTTTTTGCGTATCGTAAATCACCGCGTGTCATTGTTTGGGCGTCATTAAAGGCTGTTTTTTTAGTAGTGTTTGAAAACAATAATGAAAGTGTTATAAAAGTCTAGACCATGTTGTTGGAAAAACTCATGCGCAACACCACAACCTTTTTACCGATCAAGACGTGCCTTACTATTGAACTTATGGAGATAGAGTCACCAACAACAAATAATGTTATATTTAATGGGTTTTGGCATTGCTATCCCACGTGTGTTTGGATTGGAGCCTAGAAATTTCAAAATCCATGGCATAGTGCCAATGTGTATCACACATGTATTGAGCACTGGAGCGAGGGATAGGAGAAATGCCATTTATGATGGAGAGATTGAAATTTTGTTTGGCCCTAAGAGAGCTAGTGCGAGATCTAGTGACTCTAAGGTTGTTGGGAAAGGGAGGAGGGGCAGTTACGGTTGAGGGTTAAGAATAAGTAACAAATCTAGCATTAACCAAGGGAAAAGGAGGTGGATGTTAGGTGGTTACAAAAGGAGCCTCAGCAGAGGATGGATGAAACCAGCAGATGAGAGAAGATAGGTATGTGAACTCATCAACATCAAAAGAATGATAGGTTGTGTGTGAAAGATATTGATGAAAAACATAGTATGGAAATTGAGATTCATAAGGATGTCTTTACTTGTAATAAGATCAAGGAATTGATACCTGTGATGACCAGTTCACAGACATAGATAGTTGCATGCTGAAGATCTAGGATCCAAGTTATTACGAGCAGTGGAGGAAGTGTTAGGGTAACAAAAGCACCTAAAACTTGAAGGTGAGCATAGGTCGGAGAGAAGTAAACAAAATTTGAAAAGGAGTTTTATACTAAAAAGTAGTGGTGGGGAGAAGATTATGTGTGTGAACAACACAAAGAATAGATTCAACCCAAAACTTTTCTGGAAGAAAGGCTTGAAGAATAGAAGTACAGATGATGTTGTTAATAGTGTGAATGGAGCGCTTAACTTTTCCATTTTGTTAAGAGGTATAGGGACATGAAAATCTTAAATACGAGACTTAAACAAGCATAACATAAAGATGACTTTGAACTAGAACAAGAAATAAAATTACGAGACTTGAGAAATTGAAAGAAGGAAGGACACAGATGATCACGACGATGATGCCAAGTATCAAAAGAAACCGCAACATGTTCAGGCGTAATAGACGATGAAATAATTAGGTAAAGGTCATGTTGATCAATATTACAACATTGAAGAACAGTACATGTGTCAAAAATCATCATAGAGAAATTAACAGATCAAACTCAACTGAAACAAAGTTATCAATGGTAAAATAAGAAAAAGAAACAAAAGTTTTAGCAAAATTTCCAACAGAAGAATATCTTTAAGATTAGTCTATATTTAGATAAAGAAAGAAAAGAATGACTAATAAATTTAGCAGAAATAGCATCACCATTACCAACCATAATGTTATTTGAATTACAAGTATTCAGAGAGTTCATTATACCATGATTGAATGTCATGTGTGAGTTGGTTCCAAAATTCATGTAGAAGTTGCTCTCTTACAGAGGTTGAGCTGAAATGGTTTGAAAAATAAAGACAAGATCTACGAACTACTGTGGGCCATACTACGATGCGGGTCCAATAAAAGAATGAGAAGGAGAAATGTATGGTTGTAATGGAACTGAGGGAAGTTGAGGTTGTAGTATGAAGGAGAGAGGCTATTGGGGAAGATGGAAGTGACCGAGGAGCTAGAAGACATCTGCTGATGAATGTCAAAAGGAGCAACGAGGAGCTACATGACAATTTCAACTTCATCAATTTTAGAGTCACAATCCGCTAGGTCCTTAGCTAAATTTTTCAAGGAGTGATAAAACTCAGTGATAGACGAGGATCCCGTCTTCATGTTGCGAAATTGATCTTGGAGTTGGAGAATTCGGTACATTTTGTTGTTTAGAAAAAATTCATTGAGCTTGCCCAAAGGTGTTTGGTAGTTAAATTGTCACTAGAAATATTCTCCAAATGATAAGCATCACAAGTACAATAAAACCAAGAGTTTATCTAGGAATCAATAGCCTCCCAATCATCATCATCTTAACTTTGAGGTTAGTATTTTCCTATAATATGACTATGAACTTTGGTACGCTTGCACATACGATGCAATATGTAACAATTGGTTAAAATATGTCATGGTTTACCAGTCAAACTAGCACAAATTACACTATAGTAGGATCTATTGTAAGTTTGTTATGTATTTGAATGCAATGGAATTTGTGTTAATCATAATTGCACTCAGATTACTCAAAGTCCACAGTCGTTAACAAATAGATAACAATTCGTAAAAAGAAGTATTATTTAATGCCCTAAAAATATTGTTTTTGATGAAGTATACTTGGGATCTATAGATGAACGAATTGGGTAGATTATGTTTTCAACTTTGTGTGGATACAAATAATGTCCAAAACGAAGACCATTTAAGGAAGTTACATTCTGTCTAATATATATATATATATATATATATATATATATATATATATATATATATATATATATATATATATATATATAATCCGTATTTATCAAATTTTCCTGAAACGAACACTACACTGTTTTGTTTGGAATAGCTATGAATTTCATAAATTCTTTTTAAGAATGTTTTTGAACTTAAACTATGGTTTATTATTTTTTTCATTCTTATGATATTTTTAACTCGGAGGGAATTAAAATTCGTAAAATACATCGAATCGGAGCTATTTAGACGCAAAACTTGAAATGACATTTCGTGGAGTACCATACATCGAAATTGAATTCCGTTTGAATTTTTTGAGATCACCATGTCCGAGACTAGTAATAGGAACATTCAGGATATTTTTTATGAGAATGGATGAGTTCACAAAAATCGAGAGAATGAATGACAATATCTTCACTAAAATTTGAAAGTACAATGTATAAAGCTAGCCACCCTAAGGAATCTTCCTATATTCTTCAAATACACCAAAAAAAATCACTAATATTTTAAATTACAATGCATATACTTTAAAACCTTAAGTAATCTTCCGATATCCTTCAATTACACAAAAAAATGTATTCTAAATCTGATTTCAAACATCTAAACCACAATAACTCATGCAATCTCTCCAAAAATATTACAAATACAAGCATGCATGTGTATATCATATAAAATCCTTCATTATATCTAACCTAAATCTCCTATGTACCTTCCATATCAAATAAAATCTTAACAGTTATGATGTATGTGAAACTAACTAGTTTTAATCCTACTTTTTATTAATAAATTAAGCACACAAAGGTAGTGAACCTGTCTTTTAGTGGTATAGTTGGATAAGTAGGGTGTCGAACTCAGGGAACGAAAATTGATCTAATAACTAATTTTAACTAAGCAAGTAATAAAAGTAAAAGGGGTTTTCTCTAGTTTTACAAGACTAGAAACTTAAACATAGCAATTAAAGCAATTAACTAACTAACAATTAAAGCAAATGACAAATTCACCAAATTTATTAAAGGGTTTCTGTTTAGGTTCAACTAATTCACTCCTATGGTTATTTTAATGATAAATTAATTATTATTAGTTACCAACTATAGTGGTTAGGTTCATATTCATTATTTCTAACCCTTAGACAATTAATCAATTCAAGCAGTGACCAATTGTTTAAACTAACTAATCCCTAGTTGAATTATTTGGATTAAATAAGATTTGTAATTGGTTAATTAAGTTGGTGTTCCAATTAACCTCTTGTTTGTTGGTTTCTCAAACAAGCTCACACATTAACTTACCTATTTTCTAATTAATCTTAATTTCATATTCATTACTCTTAAGCATATGATCAAGTGTTCACATAACATATGAGGTTAATAATCAAGAGATGTTCATGCAGCTTAATTACCTTCCAATTAACAGAAAATAGTTGTCATTTATGCATAAGGCTCTTTAACAAACTTAA